TCTTATAAGGTCTGTCTAAATATAGTATACTGCTATATAATATCATATAGATATTCTCTCTCTCTCATCCGGTTCCCTTTCTCTCTTCCTCTTCTCTCTCTCTTCTCCTCTCCCATGCTCTCTCTCTCATCTCTCTCTCTACCTCTTCTCTCTCTCTCTCTCATCATTACCCCTCTCTCCATGAAACCTACGCAAAAGCTCTCATTCAACCCAGTTCAGCGTTGCCAATATCGTCGACTGGGACAGGCCGGACACCCACATGCAATGCAAAAACGCTGTCATGCACAAAATACATTTATACAAACGTGTGATTTCGAATCGCATTTGCAAACTGCAGTAATTTCTCTGTGTCATGCAGGTGTCAGTTGCATGGGTTATCTGTTAGAAATATTTTATTGTGGATGGTAAAGAGAATAACTGGGATTATAACGGAGGCTGTTCTTCTCTAAATGTTTGCTTGTACTTGTTTTTTTTAATTTTTTTAGTATGATCGTTATGCTAGCTCGTACTTGTTTTTTATTTGTTTTATTTATTAGGCATTAATATTATTATAGCATGGTATTGTTTTTGTTGCTGTTGTTGATTATTATATTATTATTAATTATTATCATTATTATTATATTCTATTATATTTATTATAATAATTATTAATCATTATTATCATTATCATTATATTATTGTTAATTATTTTTCTAATTATTTCATTAACTAATTATCATCATCATTATTATTATTTTATTATTGTTATGAAGATCATCCATCATTATTATCATTAACATAATTATCATCATCATTATGATTATTTTCTTATTGTTATGAAGATCATCATCATTATTATTACTTTATTAATGATCATGATGATAATAATAATGATAATAATGATAATGATGATGATAATAATGATATTAATTGTAATAATAATAATGATATTAATAATAATCATAATCATCATCATCTAATCATCACACATCATCATCATTATTACCTTTATCATCAATATTGTTCTATGACAAATTTAGTTGTATGATTGAAGTTATATGATAAATAAATTTGTATGACTGAAGTTCTATGACAATGAAGTTATATATCTAAGGTCCTATGACACATTAAGCTATATAAACATCCCTATGATAAATTATATAACAGATTTATATGACAAAATTATACAAAATTAATCTATATGTGGCAAATTAAGTTGTATGACTGAAGTTAAATGACAAATTAAATTGTATGACTGAAGACAAATAAGTTGTATGAACTGAAGTTCAATGACAAATTAAGTTGTATGACTGAAGTTCAAATGACAATTAAGTTGTATGACTGAAGTTAAATGACAAATTAAGTTGTATGACTGAAGTTCAATGACAAATTAAGTTGTATGACTGAAGTTCAATGACAAATTACTGAAGTTAAATGACAAATTAAGTTGGTATGACTGAAGTTAAATGACAAATTAAGTTGTATGACTGAAGTTAAATGACAAATTAAGTTGTATGACTGAAGTTCAATGACAAATTAAGTTGTATGACTGAAGTTCAATGACAAATTAAGTTGTATGACTGAAGTTCAATGACAAATTAAGTTGTATGACTGAAGTTCAATGACAAATTAAAATGACTGAAGTTCAATGAAAATTAAATTGTATGACTGAAGTTCAATGACAAATTAAGTTGTATGACTGAAATGACAAATTAAGTTGTATGACTGAAGTTAAATGACAAATTAGTTGTATGACTGAAGTAATGAAAATAATTGTATGACTGAAGTAATGACAAAATGGACTGAAGTTCAATGACAAATTAAGTTGTATGACTGAAGTTCAATGACAAATTAAAGTTGTATGACTGAAGTTAAATGACAAATTAAGTTGTAATGACTGAAGTTAAATGACAAATTAAACTTGTATGACTGAGTTCAGTTCAAATGACAAATTAAGTTGTATGACTGAAGTTCAAATGACAAATTAAATTGTATGACTGAAGTTCAATGACAAATTAAGTTCAATTCAATGACAAATTAAGTTGTAAGACTGAGTCAATGACAAATTAAGTTGTATGACTGAAGTTCAATGACATTAAGTTGTATGACTGAAGTTCAATGACAAATTAAATGAAGAGTTGTATGACTGAAGTTCAATGACAAATTAAGTTGTATGACTGAAGTTCAATGACAAGTTAAGTTGACACTGAAATGACAAATTAAGTTCTGAATTCAATGACAAATTAAGTTGTATGACTGAAGTTCAATGACAAATTAAGTTGTGACTGAAGTTAATGACAATTAAGTTGTATGACTGAAGTTCAATGACAATTAAGTTGTATGACAATTAAGTTATATGACTGACGTTAAATGACAAAATAAGTTGTATGACTGAAGTCAACTTACAAACTAAATTGTATGACTGAAGTTAAATGACAAATTAGGTTGTATGTCAAATCACCCATACGTCTTTGCCAATTCGAATATGCTAATAACGGTTCTCCCTCCCCTTGTTTCCCAG